TATAGAAATTTATTCATGTACTTGACTGCAGCGGCAAGAATGTTATTTGCCCAAAAAATGGAAAGAAGAAGAAGCCCCGATGAAACAAGAATAGATACAAAAGCTTATGAAGTACGCAGAAACGGCAATACTTACCGGAAAAGTAAAAAACCAAGATAACAAACTTTTTTATATAAAAGAATGGAAATGGTTTATTGAATATTTACAAACAAACTGTAAACAGACAAGAACATTGGCAGGATTATTGTAATAACCTGCAGTTTTATAAGAGTGTACAGTCGTACCTTGGAAGTCGAATGGAATCCGTTCCAGAAGTCCGTTTGACTTCCAAAACGTTCGGAAACCAAAGCACGGTTTCCGATTGGCTGCAGGAAGCTGTGAAGCCCCGTCGGACGTTCAGGTTACAAAGAACCTTCGTAAACCGGAACACTCACTCCCGGGTTTGCGGAGTTCGGGAGCCAAAATGTCCAAGTGCCAAGGCGTTCAGGATCCAAGGTATGACTGTACATTTAAAGTAGATGAATAAATGATTAAATTAATTTGGAATGGGCAGAAAATATATATAAAAAAAACAAATTTAAGGAACCACAGAAAGAGGGGGAGGGAAGTCGAGTTTTGAAATGTCAAAATGATTGTAAAATTACTGAAATGTATAAAATTGAAATTCAGATAGATAGATATAGATATAGATTCAGGTAGGTAGCTGTGTTGGTCTGACGGAGTCGATTTTATATATATATATATGTGTGTGTGTGTGTGTTGTGATATATATATATATATATGTCCAGTAGAACCTTAGTAGAAACTAAGTTTGATCTTGATATAAGCTTTCGTATCTGAAGAAGTGTGCATGCACACGAAAGCTTATACCAAAACAAATTTAGTTGGCCTCTAAGGTGTGTTTGTGTGAATATATATATAGCTGAGTGATAGAGAATCTGCCCAAGTTCAATTCCCGATCTCTCCAGGTAGACCTGGGAGAGAGAGTCGCGTCTGAAACCCTGGAGGAGCCACTGACTGTCTGAATCGCCAATAATGAATTGTGATGCCACAGTGGTTTTATGCAGGATAAGACAGAGATTCCTATGAGTCAAAAGGATCTGTGTTGGTGGGATGACTCACTAGGCCCCACTCCCCAGAAACCTGGCAATGGACCACTGGATCGAGACTTATTTCTCACAGCTGGTTTGAGCTGAAGATGCCATGGGAACGAGGAAGAGTCATTGGTCCCAGCAGAGTTACTTCGATGCTCTGAGCCAGTGCAGCTGTGTGGGTTGCAGCCGGCACTGCAAGAGAGGCTGCGCATGTGTGTTTTTTACATGCACGTGCAGAGAGAAGCCTTTCTCCTCCTAGAAATCCATTGCGTCCGTATTCATCTGTTTGTTGAGATGTGGAGGACCAAAATAGGGTTGGCGGGACCAGTCTAGTGCTTGGACAAAGACCAGGAAATTTTTGCTGCTGTTTTAAAATCGTCAAATATTCCATGAAGCCATGAATGCCACTGTTGAGATGGCGGCTCACATAAAAATAAAAATGATTTACAGTGTTGTTTGTCAGCAAGTACAAGAGTGAAGATTCTTTTCCTGCTAGTAGTCTGACGTATTCCTCATTGGGGAAGGATGCAGGGCAGAATATCTGCTTTGCAGAAGATTCCAGGTTCAGTCTCTGGAGCATCTCAGACTGGGAAAAGACTCCCTGTCTGAAATGCTGGAATGCTGCTGCCGGTCTGAGCTAGATGGGCAGAAAACCACGCAAACGTTTAAAAAGCAGTCCCACAGATAAAAACACTTGAAGATGATTCGAACACAGATGATGACTGGGTTGAGGTTCTCCACTTAAAAGCTTCCTTGGAAGAGGAAGGTCTTCAGAAGCAGGTTTCTCAAACGACAACAGAGACAGCACCTGTATGATTTGCAAAGGGAGGGAATTTCAAAGGGAATGTATTGTTCTGGGTGCTGGCATCTGTCTGTCTCAAGAGACAATGGAGTGCGCCTCCAGGGGTGAAGCCAAACTGCTGTGTTAGCAGTACCGAAATGACCTCTTCAGGGCCCAAACCTGGGCAGTGTGTCTGGAAGTCCTGGGCTGCCCGGATGACAATACCCCCCCTCCCGGCCTTGCTGATGTGATCCAAAGTAAAGCAGAGCAATGCGTTTTGCACCACTTTGGCTGCAAGAGCTGCTGCAAGGAAGCGTACAAGATGCCAACCAGTCTTAGGGACTCCGCTCCAGAATGGGGTAGGGTTCCTGAGCCTTTTCTTCTCTCAAAGATACCCTGCAAGGCAGCAGAAGTTTAGGATCAGAGTTTTCCATCTGCCCCTCGCTTCCCTCTACAGCTCGTACAGAAACCCCATTCTTGTTTGTTGGATCTACTATTGGTCCCATCCCCTCAATCCGCCAGAGCCTGTCTTCGCATGCAGAGGAAGTGCCTAACTCACAGGGAGTTTGAGACCCACCGGCTACACCCTCACCTGGTTTAGCCAGCCAGTCGAAGCCATTCCTGGGGTGTGTGTGCTGTCGCATGCTGATGGATTCTAGGAGCCACAGCTGAGAGCTGAGTGCAGGGTGGGGACCAAAGATGGACAAACTGCCACAGGAGCAGCATGACATGTCCCCAATAATAATAATAATAATAATTTTATTTATACCCCACCCTCCCTGGCCAGAGCTGGGCTCAGGGCGGCTAACACCAATAAAATAAAATCACAATAAAAACATAACAGGGGAAAAAGAGAGGGGGGGAATCAATTTAAAATACAGGTTAAAATGCAGCCTCATTTTAAAATAGCTGATAAATCATCAAGACTATAAGGGGAAGGAAACATAAGGGTCAGACCGAGTCCAAGCCAAAGGCCAGGCGGAACACCTCTCTCTTGGAGACCCTGCGGAAAGATGTCAAGTCCCGCAAGGCCAATGCTGAAAAGGCCCTGGCCCTAGTTGAAACCAATCTAACCTCCTTGAGGCTCGGGACCACCAAAGACTTGTTATTTGTAGACCTTAAGGTCCTCTGCGGGGCATACCAGGAGAGGCGGTCCTATAGGTATGTGGGTCCTAGGCTGCATAGGGATAGGTAACACCCCACGCAACCCAAAGGGAAGGTGCAACCACAGTAAAGGCCCTGTTCCTGTATTGTGAAGAACAAACCCCCTGATAAGATCTTCAGGAGGCCTTCTCACAGTGATATATTGGGTATAGAAGGGGCAAAGTGATCTTTTAGGTAGAAGAATATAGGGTTGCAGGCTTATTATGGATCCAGTCCTGAACCTGTAAGGTAGCCTTCCCAAACCTCGAGCTCTCTGATAGTTTTTGGGTCCCTTCCACCCTAGCTGGCCAGTTGTCGCTGATGTCAGTTGTCGTCCAAAACATCTGGGGAGCACCAGGTTTGGGAAGGCTGCTGTAAGCTGACCCAAGTGTTCCTGCACAAAAGCCCGGGAGAAGAATGGCCCAGTGACTGACTTGGATTTAGAGGAAAACCTTGCTTCCCGTCTTTTAAATACAAATAGAATCATTATCATATCTACTGACTGCACTATAACCAAGTGTTTATTTGTAATCAGTGTTCTGTATCAAACCAGTTGAAGGTTAAAAAACATCTATGTTGAAAAGTTTATGCTTTTTCAAATGCACAACCCTTATTTGACCAGATCTCTTTCGCCTGGTTAGCTACGGGCCTGCAAACCAAAATTCTTTCTTTCCTTTGGTGCGTAAGAGCGAGTCAGCGAAAGAGCGGGTCACATCGCGCCTGGCCTTGGCTACTACTAGCAATGTTGTTTTTGGGAAGCTTCTCTGCTTACTCAACACGCTTGCAGCCGGCGCCCGGAATACGTGTAGTTCGTGGCTCCGGTGCGATCTGAATCTGGGTCCAATCCAAACATGCCTGCCTGCCTGAGCGCGCAAAATCTTCGCTCCTGTGAGCAGGGATCCCGGTGGTGTAGATCTCCTCCGCTCTCCCCCTGCTCTCCCCCTGGGCCTCTCTCCTCCCTGCAAGGGTTAGAAGAGCATCTTTTCCAGCACTTAATCACCAGGAATGTGATAGCTTGTGAGAAGGTAGACAGAGGGAGATGGCCCTTAGGCTCTGTGCTACAGAGAGAGAGAGAGAGAGAGAGAGAGAGAGAGAGATGCTTTGGTGACCTGAGCTCTCAGTAGTAGAGAAGAATTTAGCAACCTTCAATTGGAGGGTTCCTGGGGTGAAAGCTGGGCATAGTGTCGTGCGGTGGTCTTCAACTGGTCCAGAACCAAGACCCACCTCTGACACACACACACACACACACACACACACACACACACCAAGCTGCAACATGGGACCCACTTTCACAATTTGCACTGTTGATTTACAATGTAGGATCCCATCTTAGGTGGGGGTTCACTTCCAAGGGTTCTGTGTATACAGGAAAATCCCGCATATCCAAACCCAAGCAAGGCGGAGAGCTTAAAAGCTCTTTCTGTGCTGAGTGAATCCGGCATAAAAAGAGCTTTTAATATTATTATTTGCATACCACCCTATAGCCATAGCACTCAGGTCGGTTCGCAACATAAGAATACGATATAAAATTCACAAAAGACATAATAAAAAGCAAAAACAAAAACCAATAAATTCCCCCCCCCACGCACATTTAAAAGGGTATCAGATGTCAGTCAGCCAAAAGCCTGGTTTCAATCCTGAAATCCTCTGGGAAAGAATGGGCTAACAATATTAAATTTCCAAGTTCATGTGTCCAGACACTTTGCCTCTCCACAAAGAGCTTTTACTAAATTTTCTACGATTGCTGGATGTGTTCAATCTGTGAATGCTTCCAAAAATCTTCAGGGGAAATATGCACTTACGGTTCCATCTTCTGCTTTTGAGGAACTGGCTTGGAGGGGAAAACATTCTTAATTCCTACCTAGCTTTTTTTAGGACCTGAGATAGATCCTGGCTTTGATAGCCGAGGTGTGGTTTATATATGTAAATCCTCTAGTTTCCATTCCTGACGCTATTTGGGGAATGTGTGTTCCTATTTTCAGGCAAACTCCTGGTACTGACAGCTGCCACAGATGAGACAGAGGGATACCAGCGCTTCCTGCGGACGGCCAAGTACTTCAACTACACTGTCAAGGTGCGAGAAACTCTGAAAATAGCAGATATTTCCTTTCCATTAAAATAATAAAAACATTTGAGGGGGGGAGGTAGAATGTAGAGCCAAATTTCAGCTCTTAATTTAACTGTCCCCGGATTACCTCAGCAGTCTTATTCTCTGGTACCTCATGGGGCATGACTGTATTGCAGCGGCCAGGGAAAACCTTTCTGAGCTTGAGGGCCACATTTCCTTACAGGAAACCTTCCAGGGGCCACATGTGAATTGATGGGGGAGGGGACAGAGGCAAAGGTGGCAGAGCAGCAGAGGAGATTCTTGCCTTTGCACAGTAGGCTATATTCCATCCCAGGGCAGGCCCAAGACGTTTTGGCACCTGAGGAGAACCACAAAATGGTGCCACTGGGGTGGGTGACCAGCAGCGTCTCCTCTTCAAGAGGCCACTGTAGAAGTGGCTTTGGTGGGACTGTCATGGAGGCAGCAGATCCAGCCTCCAAGAAATGTCCCGTCGCTGTCGTTGCTACCACAGCAGCAGGCAGCCCATTCCTTGGAAGATGGCTCTGTTGGCCTTGTGGATCTTGCCACCTGAGGCAGTCGCCTCACTTTGCCTCATGAGTGGGCCGGCCCTGTTCCACCCAGGCAAGGTGGAAGAGGCATTACCAGTCGAGGGACAGTTTTGCTTTAGAAGAAAATAACGAATTTCCACCCCTGTTGCTTTTGTGTCGTCATCGTCCCCCAGACTCTCGGCCTAGGAGAAGACTGGAAGGGTGGGGACGTGGCTCGGACGGTCGGCGGAGGACAGAAGGTCCGCTGGCTGAAGGCGGAAATGAAAAAACATGCCAATGAGGAGGACCTAATTGTCATGTTTGTAGACAGGTGAGCTCTCAGATTCTCTCTCTGCCAGTCGCAACAACTTGAGTGTGAGGGACGCCTACGTCGCAGGGTTGTTGTGAGACTTACCACTTACATGTTTGATCTGTTCATTTCATTGCACTTCTTTACTTTACTTTTCTTTCTTTTCTGCCTGCGTGGGCCCCAAAACTCAGAACAGGTGAGATGAGGATATAATATATTAGCTGTGCAGGTCACGAGGAAATAGTTGGTGTTGCACTTTACCTGATAAAGGAGTGATGGCGAGGTCAGGGTCTTTTCCTTTTGGAGGGGGTGGGTATGGAAATGGGAGGAAACTGAAGCTTGGGATGGGGATATCCGTTCTCTGGGGAAGATGACCATTTAATTCCCACCCAGATATTTGTGATTTATCACACTTTAATAGGTGACATTGGAAGACCTGTGTTCAAATCCCCCCACTTGGTAATAGAAGCTGGTTTGTTAGCTTTGGGCAGGTCAGTTTCTTCTAGCCTAGCCTACCTCACAGGGTGGTTGTGCTTATAGAATTCCATCCCAACCTCCATCTGGAGTTCGTTGGAGAAAGCACATGGTTATTGAAATTGATGGGCAACGAAGAAGATAAAGGGTCTGGAAACCAAAAAGGCCAAATAGCCAATGGTAAAGGATCTGGGTATGTTTAGCCTGGAAAAGAGGAGACTAAGAGGTGATAGGATAGCCATTTTCAAATAACTAAAGGGCTGCCCCATGGAAGATGCAGCAAGCTTGTATTCTGCTGCTCCAGAGGGAACGACCTGAATGAATGGATCCCGTTTCAATAAAGGAGATTCTGACTAAACACCAGGAAGAAATTTATGATGGTAAGAGCTGCTCGACGGTGGAACGGACTCTCTCGGAAGTTGATGGACTGTCATTTATTGGAGGTTTATAAGCAAAGGCTGGATGGCCACCTGTCAGGGCTTCTTTAGACTTTGATTCCTGCATTGCTGGGGGTTGGACTAGATGACCCCCCGGGGTCCCTTCCAGCTCTACAGTTCTAGGACTCTATAAAATGTTGAATGAGTACTGTTAGTAATTCTAAATGGGCATGCTCTTTTCCTGGAGAAGGCCACAGGCTGATAAAGCATTGCCTTGCTCACCTGAGGCCCCTCGCTAAAAGCTCTCAATCTGCCCTCTTGTCTGCTTCCCAGCTACGATGTGATCCTGGCAGGGAGCCCCATCGAACTCCTCTGGAAGTTCCTGCAGTTCAAGAGCAACGTGGTCTTCTCGGCGGAAAGCTTCTGCTGGCCAGAGTGGTCGCTGGCCGAGAAGTACCCGCCGGTGGGCGTGGGAAAACGCTTTCTGAACTCTGGAGGTAAAAGGCCAGCTTCCCTTCCCTTGTCCCCCTCCAACTCCCCATTTAGCAAATAACTTGAATTCTGTGCTAGGAAGGCCCACTGGAATCTGCCACTGGAATCAATTATGGAAAGATGCACATGGGTTTTGCACAATTAATATTCCGTTGCCGAGTGCCAGGTTTCCAAATAATACAGCGTTTCTTTAGCAAGCTGTGCGGGTTTGGATGGGTAGGCGAAACTTAAGAAGGAAAGCATTATACAGTGGTACCTCAGGTTAAGAACTTACCGTATTTTTCGCACCATAGGGCGCACCGGACCATAGGGCGCACCCAGTTTTTAGGGGGGGAAATCAAGAAAAAAATCTTTCCCCCCCCCCAGCCCCAAAGAGCAGCGTACAGGGTGCGCACAACCTCTCCCTGCCGGAGGGGTTGCGCGCAGCTATGCAGCAAGCCAAGTTTTGGCTTCCCCTTTAGCCCCATGCAGCCTCTCCTTGCCGGGAGACGCTGCGCAGGGCTAAAGAAGCCATAGCCCCGTGCAGCCTCTCCTTGCGGGGGGTTGCGCGCAGCTATGGAAGAAGGCAAGGCAGCGAGCGGGATGGATCCCACTCGCTGTTTTGCCTTCCCCTTTAGCCGCGCGCAGCGTCTCCTTGCGGAGGGGTTGCGCGCAGCTATGGAAGAAGGCAAGGCAGCGAGCGGGATGGATCCCGCTCGCTGGTTTGCCTTCCCCTTTAGCCGCGCGCAGCCTCCCCTTGCCGGGAGACGCTGCGCAGGGCTTTCCTGGCTTTTCTGGGAGGGGGGGGATTCCCTCACCTCTCGCAAAAGTCCGCAGAAGCCGCGCGCACTTTAAAAGGGCTGCACGGCTTCTTCTGGCTTACCTGGGAGGTGGGGGGATTCCCTCACCTCTCGCAAAAGCCCGCAGAAGCCGCGCAACTCCTTTAAAGAGATCACGGCTTCTCCTGGCTTTCCTGGGAGGTGGGAGAAGGGACTGATGCGGCCAGTCAGACCCTTCTCCCTCCTGTGGAAAAGCCCGCAAGAGCGCACGGAGCTTGTGTGCGGCTCTTGGGGGGCTTTTCCCGCCTGCCTCCCCCCCTGCATTCGCTCCATAGGACGCACACACATTTTCCCTTGCTTTTTAGGAGGGAAAAAGTGCGTCCTATGGTGCGAAAATACGGTAATTCATTCCGGAGGTCCGTACTTAACCTGAAACTGTTCTTAACCTGAAGACCACTTTAGCTAATGGGGCCTCCCGCTGCTGCCACGCTGCCGGAGCACGATTTCTGTTCTCATCCTGAAGCAAAGTTCTTAACCCGAGGTAATATTTCTGGGTTAGTGGAGTCTGTAACCTGAGGCGTATGTAACCCGAGGTACCACTGTATTAGGAAAGCATTATATTGGAAGAAGGAATGAGATGCTCACTGGGGCTATAAAGACCTACTCTTCTGTCCCGAAAAGTACTGTTACCGCTTTCTTTCTGCTTGAGGTTCTAGCTATTTGCTGCTCACGCGCTTGCAAGCTTATATCTACAGCCATATGGACTAGAAGCTTGGAGCAGAGGGAACTGAGCGTAAAAGCTATTTAATAGTTTATACTAGATGCTAGATTTGGGGGTGCGGGTGGTGCTGTGGTCTAAACCACTGAGCCTCTTGGGCTTGCCGATCAGAAGGTTGGTGGTTCGAATCCCCGCAACTGAGTGAGCTCCCTTTGCTCAGTCCCAGTTCCTTCCAACCTAGCAGTTCGAAAGCACGTCAAAAACTGCAAGTAGATAAATAGGTACTGCTTTGGCAGGAAGGTAAACGGCGTTTCCATGCACTGCTTAGTCATACTGGCCACATGACCCAGAAAAACTGTCTGTGGACAAAGGCCGGCTCCCTCGGCCTGTAAAGCGAGATGAGCACAGCAACTCCAGAGTCGTCTGCGACTGGACTTAACTATCGGGGTCCTTTATCTTTTAGATGCTAGATTACAAGCTTGCACAGCAAATGTGAGTGTAACAGGGCCTGATTGATGACTGGCTTCTTAGCACCTTCTGGCAGGAGCTTCTGTTGACTCCAGCTAGGATGCTGCTGCTACTGCCCTTCTGGAAGTGTGCCAGGATTGTAGCTCAGGTGTGCTTTTGAAAGTGCCCTGCGAGTAATAATCAGCAGCAAGACTCTGTTTTCAACAGGCCAGGTGCTTGCCTTCCAGTGTGCGGTGGCATTCTGAGAATTCCTGCTTTACTTTAAAAAAGAAAAGAAAAAAAAGTTTCTAGTTCTTATGGTGGGCTGGGAAGCTCAGGCCTGGAGACCAAATGCAACCCTCCTGGCCTTTCTACCTGGCTCTTGGAATTCTCACTGCCCCCTCAGGCACACCTTGAGGAATTTAGCCTGGCTGGGATGTGTTTTGAGCTCTGAGAACGCCTCTTGCTTGTGGAGAGGTGTGTGTGTATCTCTCTCTGTGTGTATATACAGAAACTAGCCTATTCTGCAAAGGTAACATAGATCGGCCCAGCCACTTTTGCTTCTGACCGCTGGGACATGGCCCCCAGAAGCTTGCCAGAAGGGAATGTGGCCCTTGGGATAAAAAGGTATCCTACTCCTGCCTTAAGGCTACAAGGGTAGGCTTGAAACAGTACATACCCCCTCAAAAAATCCCAAAACTGGTGTCTCTCTGCCTCAGGGTTCATTGGCTACGCCCCCACCATCAACCGCATCGTCCAGCTCTGGAAGTACAAAGATGACGACGACGACCAGCTCTTCTACACACGCATTTACTTGGATCCTGCCTTGCGGGTGAGTCTGTTGGGGTGGGTGGGTGAGTCTTTGCTGCCCTTGAGAAATAAAGATGAGGAACCCTGTGGCCCTCAGAGCACTGCCAGACTACAACTCCCATCATTCCCGACAGCTGGCCGTGCTGGCTGTGGCTGATGGGAGCTGGAGTCCCGACAAAATCTGGAGGGCTTTAAGAGACTCCCCTGCTGCTTATGGAAGGGACACGTGGAGGCCTCTGAGTTGACCATCTTAAGCTGTTTTCAGCAGCAGCTGGGAAACTGAAATCTGATGCCCTTGCAAAGCAGCAGGACCGGATTCTCAGAAAAACTCTGCACATTCATTTCTCTGGCTCAAAAGCTGGGAGCTAAAGTCTTGGGATGGGACGGACCTTGTTCACCACTTCACAGAAAGGCAGGCTACCCATTTTTAATAGGGAAATAAAGCTTTCTATCCAATGTCCATCATGCTCTGAGCAGACGCATGGAAAGCAAGAATCAGAAGAATCTTTATTTGCATCAGCCACTAGCCATTAGCAATAAAATAAAATAAATAAAATGTACTGAAGATAGAGGTAGAAACGTAACTTTAGAAAATACATTTGAAAGGGGTTACGTCAATAATCAAATGCAGTTGTACCTTGGAAGTCGAACAGAATCCGTTCCGGAAGTCCGTTTGACTTCCAAAGTGTTCGAAAACCAAAGCGCGACTTCCGATTGGCTGCAGGAAACTCCTGCAGCCAATCGGAAGCCGCGTTTGATGTTCAGCTTCTAAAAGAACATTCGAAAACCGGAACAGTCACTTCCGGGTTTTGATCGTTCGGGAGCCAAAATATTTGAGAACTAGGCTGTTCGACAGCCAAGGTACGACTGTAATAGATCTTATTCTATTTGTCCCCGCTAAAACCCTTGCAGTTTTTGCTGTCACCTGATCATCTTGATCTGCTAAAAGAAAGGACACCGTCGCAATGGAAAGCAATGGACATTTATTATTTGTTTAATTGTTGCACCTATATCCCACGTTTCCCTTCAAGGAGGTCAAGGTGGTATTTTTAGTTCTACCCCCTCCTTGTTTAATCCTCACAACAACCCTGTGAGGGAGGGTGGGATGATGATGACGACGACGATGATGATGATGATGATGATGATAATAATAATAATAATAATAATAATAATTAATTAATTTATACCCCGCCCATCTGGGCGGCTTCCAACAAAGTATTAAAATACAGTGGTTTGTTAAACATTAAAATCTTCCCTAAACAGGGCTGCCTTCAGATGTCTTCTAAAAGTCTGGTAGTTGTTTTTCTCTTTTGACATCTGGTTGGAAGGCCTTCCACAGGGTGGATGAGAGTGAGTGACTGGCTCAAGGTGAGCCTTATGGCTGACTGGGGATTGAACCCTGTTTCTCCCAGGTCCTAGTCTGATACTGCAAACACACTGCATTTATAAATAGATAGGACATATAAATCCTTGCTGGATTTGTGTTCATAGTGGCATTCTATGGGTGCTTTGTAATTGTAGCGTTTTGATGGAAGATTATGATTATGTAAGGGGAGGCTTCTGTTCTTACCTCCTCCTTCCTGTCTCCCTAGGAGAAACATAAGATCACGCTGGATCATAAGTCAAAAATCTTCCAGAACTTGAATGGTGCCATCGGTGAGTGGTTGATATTTTCTGTAGCAGCGCTCCGGTTGTCTATGAGTGAACACATCAGTAGGGCAGCCAGAACCGTACATTTAAAGCACTGTGATACCACCTTAAGCAGTCGCGGCTTCCCCCAAAGGATTCTGGGAGCTGTAGGGTGCTGCTCGGAGGCCCCTATCCAGAGCTACAATTCCCAGAATTCCCTGGGAAGAGGGCTTGATTGTGGCTCTGTGAGGGGAATAGGGGTCTGCTCAGCATCCTTAACAAACTGCATTTCCCAGAATGCTTTTTTGGGGGGAAGCTATGACTTTAAAGTGGTATCATGATGCTTTAAAATGTGGTACATTCCCATTTAAATGCATGGTGTGAATGTTGCCTAGCTCCCCCTGATCTGCATGTTTGAAACTTCATAGTCATGAGGAAGCTGCAGATTGCAATAATTCCCACCGTGTGGTGGACATTTCTGAAAGGGGAAACATGGTGTTTGGTTGGTGGAGCAGAGATTCAGTTTGTCCCATACTCTTTATTCCATCCTCCTTCTTAACAGATGAGGTAGTTCTGAAATTCGAACGGACCCGAGTGCGCGCCCGGAACGTCGCTTACGACACCTTTCCTGTCGTCATCCATGGCAACGGGCCCACCAAGGTATTTGAGCAGCTCCCCTCCTGGTCATGCCCCTTGGTTGAAGAAGACCTTATTCCTTGGGCTTGGGAGTCTGCAGCCAGCTTGCTGAAGCTAAGCAGGTCCGTGCCTGGTCCATGTCTGGATGGGAGACCCCACTTAGGCCAACGGACAGAAGAAAAGCGGGATAAAAGCACAAATAAACAATATGGATGCCGCATTTCAATTTGCCTCTGGGCTTTGTAGCCAAACCAGTCTTGAAACATTGTCCAATATCTGGGAAGGGAAGCAGGCTCCCAAGCTTACATTACTCATGGTGGCAAAACCCACAAAGAAGAATTCAGGTTGGGGGGTGTTTGGGGCAACTGTCCTCTATTTTTTTTCCCCTCCCCTCATTTTGCTGACTGGTGTTCTTGCCTTCTCCTTCCATAACTGCAGCTGCAGCTGAACTATCTGGGAAACTACATCCCCAACACCTGGACCTATGAGGGGGGCTGCGAAGTTTGTGACGAAGGCCTCTTGGATCTGTCAGGCTTACCGGTGAGTCGAATGATGAATCGGGATGCAGAAGAGTCAGCTGTGGGCCTGGAGGTGGGGAAGGTGTTGAGGGAGCGGCAAGGCCAGCCCAAGACATTTTTTGACCGCCTGAGGCAAAGGACAAAATGGCTTCCCTCTTGCTCCTCATACAGAAGTGAACTGAGCTGCTGTCGATGAGATGATGCCCTCCTCTATATCTGGGGGTGGTAGGTCTACTTGGAGGCAGGAAGCAAAGCCTAGGGGCACACACACCCTCCATCGCTTCTTCCGCCTGAGGCAACTGCCTCACCTTGCTGGTCCCTGCGAGAGGAGTGTTTGAGAGTGGGCTTCTGGAGGTTCATATTTGAGCTCACCTTTCCTGTTCCCTCTCCTTTTTGCAGGAAGAATCGTATCCACGTGTGCTTCTGGGTGTGTTCATCGAGCAGCCCACACCCTTCCTGCCTCAGTTTCTTCAGCGTCTCTTGACCTTGAATTATCCGTACTCTCATCTCCAGCTCTTCATCCACAATCACGTGAGTTGTGTACACACACACACACACACCCTGCAAAGGTGAGGTATTTTGTGCTGTCCCTAACTGTAGGCTAATCCTCATTTTACATCTAAAGCTCAGGTCTAACTAGACCTTAGATAAACAGCATCAGGGGGAGCAGGGGAAGAGCTGTCCTAGCTTCTTAAAGGACTTTTGGGACTCGGGACCAGTGGCACAAATTTGCATATTCCCTAATTATTTATTTTATTTGCTTTGTAAAATTTATACGCTTGACTAAAAAAAAAAAAACACCTCAAAGTAGTTTACAAAATGATAAAGCAATAAAATTCTCACTAAGGAAAAGTAACAACAATATATGAAGACATTTGAAGAGTTAAAATACTGATATGTATCAATGCCTCCAGGCAAATTAATAAGATAGGTGACCGGTGGCTTCCAACTTTAATAGTTATGGCTTCCCTCAAAGCAGCCTGGGAACTGTAGTTTGCTATGGACACTGAGAATTGCTAGGAGACCCCTATTTCCTTTTCAGAGCTACATTTCCCAGATTGGTTTGACAATCCTTCTTTCTGGGGAACTTGGGGAATTGTAGTTCTGAGAGGGGAGTGAGGGGTTACCTCACATTTCTCAGCTCCCTCAACAAACCACACTCTTCCAGGATGATTTGTGAGAAGCCAGGACTGTCTAAAGTGGTAGAATAGAGCTTTAAATGTATGGCACGGATGTGACATGTTTGTTTGGGGGAGAGGGTTTTTTTTTTAACACAGGCATTCTGAGGTTCCGCTGCATCTGTGGCATTTTGATCTCCTGTTCGGGCCTGGATGTAAAGGCGCAGGAACTCTCTGCCTTGTCGGAATGTGGCAACGTCAGGGAGACTCTGCTTCCCTGCTAAGGAGGCTCATTTAACATGTCCCAACGTTTTGCAGGAGGTGTATCATGAGCCGCACATTGAAGCCGAGTGGGAGCAGCTCCGTGGGGCCTTTGAGAGCATCAAGCTTGTCGGTCCAGAGGAGGAGCTGAGCCAAGGGGAGGCGAGAGACATGGCCATGTAAGTAATAATAATAATAATTTATTATTTATACCCCGCCCATCTGGCTGAGTTTCCCCAGCCACTCTGGGCGGCTCCCAATCAAGTATTAAAAACAATACAGCGGTAAATATTAAAAACTTCCCTAAACAGGGCTGCCTTCAGGTGTCTTTTAAAGATAGGATAGCTACTTATTTTCTTCACATCTGAAGGGAGAGCGTTCCACAGGGTGGGCGCCACTACCGAGAAGGCCCTTTACCTGGTTCCCTGTAACCTTACTTCTCGCAATGAGGGAACTGCCAGAAGGCCCTCGGCGCTGGATCTCAGTGTCCGGACTGAACGATGGGGGTGGAGACGCTCCTTCAGGTATACAGGACTGAGGCCGTTTAGGGCTTTAAAGGTCAGCACCAACACAACAAGTAAAAGCCGAGAAGGTAGTTAAACTGGAATTTTCTCCTATAAGAGGAGACATGTTCTCGACCCGTTCTGACAATTTCCTCGCTTGTGCGACAGGGATCTCTGCCGCCAAGACCCCACCTGTGACTACTACTTTAGCCTGGATGCTGACGTGGTCGTGGCAAACCCGGACATCTTGCAGATATTGATCCAGGAGAACAAGTAAGCAATGCTTCCCTTTCCCTCCTCTGGAGCCTTTTATAAAACCATTTGTACAGCCTTTCTCCTGTCCCCCATCTCCCCATAAGCGACTTCTCTTTTGCTTCTTTCCCCTCCGCCATCCAGGAAGGTAATCGCTCCGATGGTGTCGCGCCACGGCAAGCTTTGGTCCAACTTCTGGGGGCCCTGAGCCCTGATGAATATTACGCGCGCTCAGAGGACTACGTGGAATTGGTCCAGGGCAAGAGGATGTGAGTCGTGGTCAGAACCGGGTGGGAAGAAGAATTATTATTCGTGTTTATTTATTAAAGTTATACACTGCTCTTCATCTGAAGATCTTGGAGTGGTATTCATATAGGAGCGTTCTGCTTCGCTCCCAAAATTTTCATTCGTATATTTAAAGCTTTTGGTCTTTAAGCTGGGGGGGTTGGGACCCCTTGCTGGGTCACGGCCTGAGATAAGGTGGGTCACAACAGCGGCACAGCCAAAATACAGATATGTACCCGAAAAAAGTTATGAAGTGGGCCCCAAACAGCATGTGGATGGGCCAAAGGTGGGCTATCTACGGGACCTCCTCTCCTGGTATGCCCTGCAGAGAGGACCTTAAGGTCCATGAACAACCATAGTTTAGAGATCCCGGGCCCTAAGGAAGTCAGACTATCCTCCACCAGGGCCAGGGCCTTTTCAGTGATGGCTCCGACCTGATGGAATGCTCTGCCCCATGAGACTAGGGCCCTTCAGGACTTAACCTCCTTCCGTCGGGCCTGTAAGACAGAGCTATTCTGCCTGGCCTTTAATTTGAATTCAGCCTGATCTTTTATTTCCCTTCTCTTCCCTCCCCCTCCCCTTTTATGAAGATCACCCGCTCTGAGACCCCACAGCTAATTCTCTCCTGGCCTCCTCGCTGGCCCAAGTAGGACCAATTCAGCCAGCTAGCCCTGGGGATTATCTAATGCTTATTTCCCCTAAATTGATTTTTGATTTTTGAATTTTATTGTTATTCATGTTTTTATACTGTATTTTATGCTGCTTTTATAATTAAGTGTTTTAAATTTGTTTTTAGCCGCCCTGAGCCTGGTTTTTGAACCGGGAAGGGCGGGGTATAAATAAAATATTATTTATTTATTTATTTATTTATTTACTTACTTACTTACTTATTTATTTATTTATTTATTATATTGGCCTGATCCAGCAGGCTCTTCTTGTGCCCAGCTCTTCAGCAAAAAAGTTCCCTGTGCGGCTTACTTGCAGTTCATTTAAACAAGGCAGTTCCTGCCCACAGGCTTACAGTGACATGACACAAAAGGAAAGAAGGGACAGGAGGGAAGAGGAATTTTCTTTTCATAGTTGCATAACTTATGTAAGTTACATAGATCTGCCAGCGAAACGAATAGTTTTGGGAAGAAGGCGAACTGCGGTGGAAGGGAATCTGCCACATGCGACGACTAGAGGGCAGAATAGAAAACGATGGCCGCTTACCTTCTTACTGAGAATTCTCCTCTCCCTCTTCTCTTCCTACAGCGGAGTGTGGAACGTCCCCTACATCTCTCAGGCCTATTTGCTGCGAGGGGAAACTCTGCGCCAGGAGCTGCCCCAGCGCAACGTCTTCACCTTGGACGACACGGACCCAGACATGGCCTTTTGCAAGACTGTGCGGGAGAAGGTAAGGAACGTTTTGCCTCCCAGACGTCCCGTGAATCTAGATCTCCCTGGACTCTGCACTTCCGAAAGCTGTGTTCTGCCTCTTCCAGTGATGGTGCAAACCCGACATGTTTTCCTGGGTTTGCATAAATTTATTCTACACCTAGCACTTTTGGGGAAATTCAAAAGATTAACAGAAGCTCTGTCCTACTTTGGGGAGTTTCACTGCTGGTTTGCTGTCCTGGCTTTCAGTTCTGTCTGCCCAATCTTAAAGGCTAGAAACCTCTTTTTTAAAAAAAAAACCAAAACCAAAAACCACCACCTAAGGTTCTCTACAAGCGACGCAGGTGGCGCTGTGGGTTAAACTACAGAGCCTAGTTGCCGGTCAGAAGGTCGGCGGTTTGAATCCCCGTGACGGGGTGAGCTCCCGTTGCTCGGTCCCTGCTCCTGCCAACCTAGCAGTTTGAAAGCACGTCAAAGTGCAAGTAGATAAATAGGCACCGCTCTGGCAGGAAGGTAAATGGCGTTTCCGTGCGCTGCTCTGGTTCGCCAGAAGCGGCTTAGTTATGCTGGCCACATGACCCGGAAGGTGTACGCCGGCTCCCTCAGCCAATAAAGCGAGATGAGCGCCGCAACCCCAGAGTCGGCCACGACTGGACCTAATGGTCAGGGGTCCCTTTACCTTTTAAGGTTCTCTACACCGTGAATGATGTTCTCAATAGCAAAATTCTGTGATATTGCAGAACACATATAACCATACAATTGCCGTATTTTTTGCTCCATAAGATGCACTTTTTTCCTCCTAAAAAGTAAGGGGAAATGTCTGTGTGTCTTATGGAGTGAATGTGTGGTCGATCGCTGGCTCCCTTTCTGGCTCCGCCCCCTTGCCCAGGCCTCCATTGTTGAATGTTCTGCAGGTGGAGGGTGTTTGTTTCCCCAGCGACATGTGACTGGCTGATTAGATTATCTGTCTGGAAACTTTCCTTTCCTAAAGAAGCTGCAAAGCTGTGAGTTGAACCCCATAAAAACAGGATTTTTTTCCCTTTGCAAAGTTAGCTCAACAAGTTTGAGTTGATCCTCAAAAAAGGGACTTTTCCCCTTTGCAAAAGAAGCTGCACAACTTTGAGCTGATCCTCAAAAAACAGGGTTTTTCCCCTTTGCAAAAGAAGCTGCACAACTGTCCGCTGATCCTCAAAAAAAGGGTCTTTTCCCCTTTGCAAAAGAAGCTGCACAACTGTGAGCTGATTCTGCCCCAAAACGGGGCTTTTCCCCTTTCCTCCTCTAAAAATTAGGTGCGTCTTATGGAGCGAAAAATACGGTATATGGGGTTTGGGGGAGCACTTCTGTGGCCTCCCAGGATGCATGTATTTGGGGGTGGACGGTAGGTGTGGTAACTTTTTTCTACTTATCCAAATTTTAACTATCTGTTCCCTCCCCCAGGGCATCTTCCTTCACATCAGTAACCGGGATGAGTTTGGGCGCCTCATTTCCACCGCCAGATACAACATATCCCACCTATATCCTGACCTCAGGCAGATCTCTGAGAATCCCCTGGTGAGAAGCAGTCCATTTTCCTGCCTTCCGTAATTCCTCAATGCACTGGGGTGTGATGACTCCCCTCCCGCTCCCCATCTTCCCACAAGTTTGAGGGGGGGCCCTAGCCAAGCGCCATCTTGTGGCCACTGTCCCCCCCCCCCCCCGGAGCTGCACACTTACCTAAAAATTTACCACAATGTCTTGATTTGGCGTTCTCCTAGGATTGTGGGAAATCGTAAATGGCTGCTGCCCAACTGAGGTCTGCCCTTTTAGTATCCCTGAAGTGATGTCGTGCTGGTGTACAGTGGGAAATTAAAATGGCAGCCCCGCAAACTGGCCACACGGTGCTTATCGGATCTGAGTGCCAGTGAAGAGCCCAGTGTCTTTGCTGCTGTATGCTGGGTTATTATTTTTTAGCATTTCTCTGCAGCCATGAGGTCTAGGAACTTGCTCTTTGTCATTTTGGGAAATCCAAGATGTACTCTCGGGATCCCTTAATGTCTCTGTCCCCTCCCCCCTTTCATTCAGGATTGGCAGGAGAAATACATCCATGAGAATTACACTCAGGTGCTGGAGGCGGACTATTATGAGCAGGTAAGCATCTCTCGGTTGCCATGCCTTTGCATCGCGCATCTCGTGTCTCGGAAACTCTCCTTTCTCTCTCACACCAACCCTTCTCCCCTTTCGCAGCCCTGCCCTGACGTTTACTGGTTCCCCGTGTTCACCGACCAGATGTGTGATGAGCTGGTGGAAGAGGCAGAAAACTTTGGCCAGTGGTCCGGAGGGAAGCATGAGGTAGGAGCCCTCCCTTCTTCTTTGGGCCTAACATAAAGAAGAGCTTTGTTGGATCAGGCCAGAGGCTCATCTAGCCTTGACACTTTTCCTTATTCTCACAGAGGCCAAACACATGCACCCTGCAGTTTCCAGCTGCTCGTATTGAGAGGTTGTAGGGACATGTGTGGCACTGTGGTCTAAACCACTGAGCCTCTTGGGCTTGCCGATCAGAAGGTCGGCGGTTTGAATCCCCGCGACGGAGTGACCTCCCGTTGCTCTGTCCCAGCTCCTGCCAACCTAGCAGTTCAAAAGCACACCAGTGCAAGTATATAAATAGGTGCCACTGTGGTGGGAAGATAAATGGTGTTTTCGTGCCCTCTGGTTTCCGTCACGGTGTCATGTTGCGCCAGAAGCGGTTTAGTCATGCTGGCCACATGACCTGGAAAGCTGTCTGTGGACAAACGCCGGCTCCCTCGGCCTGAAAGCGAGATGAGCGCCGAAACCCCATAGTTGCCTTTAACTGGACTTAACCATATAGGGGTCCTTTTCATATTATTATTATTATTATTATTATTATTATTATTCAGAGGTGTACTGCCTCCAAGGTGGAAGGCGGAGAACACAGCCATCTTGGCCTAGCAGCTGTTGATAGCCTTATCCTCCCCGAATTCCCCTATACAGTCATACCTCGGGTTGAATATACTTCAGGTTGAGCATTTTCAGGTTATGCTCAACAGTGACCCAGAAGAAACAGAGCACGTTACTTCCAGGTTTCGCAGCTCGCGCATGCGCAGACGCTCAAAATGACGTCACGCGCATGCGCGGAAGCGGCAGATCATGACCCACGCATGCGTAGACGTGGGTTGCGTTCGCTTCAGGATGCAAACGGGGCTCCAGAATGGATCCAGATGTACCACTGTAATCTTATGTTAAAGCCATCTAAGTTCTGGTGACACCATCACTGTGAGAGCACAGTCCATAATTTAACTGTACACTCCATGAAGAAGTTACTGCCTTTTTTGCCTGTCCTGATTCTACCAACTTTCAGCTTCCCTGGAACACCCCAGGCCCTGTTTGCATGCTTCCCATCACGGGCATCTGCTTGGCCACTGTGAGAACAGGATGCTGGACTAAATCAGTCCTTGGCTTGATCCAGCACGTCTTTCCTTACGTTCCATATCCCTGAATTCTAGTATTAAGAGCAAGGGAGGGAAGCATCTTCCTATCCACATTTTCAGCACCATGTATTATTTCATATACCTTTACTTGCTAAATTTGGCAGAAGGGACCGTACAGCTCCCTTGAGAGGTTTCAGCTTGAAATTTTGGGCAAGGGGAGGCAAATGTGGCTTGGGGCATCCTTAATCGTTATTATAGGATTATCGTAGAATCTTAGAAAAGGCAGTAGCGGAATTTGCCAGTACAGTGGTGCCTCGGGTTACAGACGCTTCAGGTTACAGACTCCGCTAACCCAGAAATAGTACCTCGGGTTAAGAACTTTGCTTCAGGATGAGAACAGAAATCGTGCTCCGGCGGCCCGGCGGCAGCGGGAGGCCCCATTAGCTAAAGTGGTGCTTCAGGTTAAGAACAGTTTCAGGTTAAGAACAGACCTCCAGAACGAATTAAGTTCTTAACCCGAGGTAGCACTGTATGCTACCGGTTTGTCAGTACCATTTGCCTTGGCAATTTTGACTCCCCCAGGATTCCCGGCTGGCTGGTGGCTATGAGAATGTCCCGACCGTTGATATCCACATGAACCAGATTGGTTTTGAGAAGGAATGGCTGCAGTTCCTGCAGGACTACATCGCTCCGGTCACAGAAAAGCTCTATCCCGGCTACTACACTAAGGTATCGGCTCCTGCGTTTTGTCGGAGGGGGAGGCATCCAGCCTGCCTGATGAGGCATCACAGCTGAGGGGTTGGGGAAAGGGTCGCTGCGAAGAGCCCAAGTGGGGAGATGAATAGGAAACTGTTCCAAGCTTTGGAAGCAGAGGGGGGAGGAACATAATCAGACCATCTCCAGTTTCATGCAAGCTTCAAGTTTTTTCTCACATCTGGTGGCTATTTATAAGCCTGGGCACGGCAGCAAAGTCTGGCGATTCCTGAATTATTTCCACTATTATTTTGGGGGAGTGTGTGTATGTGTGCAGTTTGCCATTCTCCCGCAAGACAATGCTTGACTCACTGCCGTTCTGCAGGCACGAGCGATCATGAATTTCATGGTCCGCTACCGCCCGGATGAGCAGCCCTCGCTCCGGCCGCATCACGATTCCTCCACTTTCACCATCAACGTTGCGCTGAACCACAAAGGGATCGACTACGAGGTGAGCACCCCCAGGGGGCGGGAGTTGGAGCGGGGTTGTGTGTGTGTGTGTGTGTGTGTACAGGTAAAGGTACAGGTGGCACTGTGGTCTAAACCACTGAGCCTCTGGGTCTTGCTGATCAGAAGGTCAGCGGTTTGAATCCCTGCGATGGGGTGAGCTCCTGTTGCTCTGTCCCAGCTCTTGCCGAACTAGCAGTTCAAAAGGACACCAGTGCAAGTAGATAAAAAGGTATTGCTGCAGTGGGAAGGTAAATGGCGTTTCCATGTGCTCTGGTTTCTGTCACAGAGTCCCGTTGTGACAGAAGCAGTTTAGTCATGCTGACCACATGACCTGGAAAGCTGTCTGCAGACAAACGTCGGCTCCCTTGGCCTGAAAGCGAGATGAGCTCCGCAACTCCATAGTCGCCTTTGACTGGACTTAACCATCCAAGGGGTCCTTTACCTTAACCTTAAACGGTAAAAGGACCCCTGACCATTAGGTCCAGCCGCGGACGACTCTGGGATTGCTGTGGTCATCTTGCTTTACTGGCCGAGGGAGCCGCCGTACAGCTTCCGGGTCATGTGGCATGAATAAGCCGCTTCTGGCGAACCAGAGCAGCGCACGGAAACGCCGTTTACCTTCCTGACGGAGCAGTACCTATTTATCTACTTGCACTTTGACGTGCTTTCGAACTGCTAGGTTGGCAGGAGCTGGGACCAAGCAACAGGAGCTCACCCCGTCGTGGGGATTCGAACTGCCGACCTTCTGATCAGCAAGCCCTAGGCTCTGTGGTTTAGACCACAGTGCCACCCACGTCCCTGTACCTTAACCTTACACAGGTATAAATACTGTACTTTCGTTGGCTAAAAAATGCGAACACTGCATGTTCATAGTTCAACAAGTGCACAGTCTGTACTTATAACTGCTGAGCTGTGCAAATCAGCAATTGTACACCCTTTTACATAAGTGCATGTGAGCCTCAAACACAGCTTTTGACGTACTTTTTCTCTCTCTCTCTCCTCCCCCCACCCCCCTGAAGGGAGGCGGCTGCCGGTTTATCCGCTACAACTGCAAAGTGGAATCCCCCCGCAAGGGATGGACCTTGCTGCATCCCGGGCGCCTCACCCACTACCACGAAGGCCTGCCCACCACCCGTGGGACCCGCTACATCATGGTCTCGTTTGTGGACCCCTAACACCAGCTCCACCCCCCTGGTCCTGGGGCAGTGAGTGGGCCGCGGCGGTCAACACACTGGCAGGAAGAGACTTGTGGGGGGGCAGATGCAGGCGGGTCCATCTCTCCAGCTCGGCTGCTGCCTTCCTTGGTGCCTTCGAAAATGGAGGGAAACAAATAACTCTACGTCCGGTGCTGATGGATACAGTCCTTGCCTGGCAATGAACTATGGGTCACTACTAGTGCTGGGAGCAGCCACTGCTGCCTTGTGGCGTTCCACCAACCTCCCCACCACCACCCCATAATATGTGGGTTGAAGATGACAGGCTGTCTCTAACAAAGTGTCGCCCGTTCAGGATGTGTTTTCAGTGCCTCCCTCTCTCAGCATGGCCCAGCCAGCTGGAGATACCGTTGTTTTAGCAGTAGCACAATCATTCTCTAAACATTTTTTAGTCCCTTGCTCAAATCAAGGCACCTCGGGGGTTTTTTCCTACAAATATATGTACTGCTGCTGTTCTGTTTTTGCCCCAGGTCTTCACTCTTCCCCTCCACCCACCTTTTATATGAGTGTCTTTGTTACACCGAAGCTGCATTTTGTGAAAGAATGCCTCTGAGCAACTGCAGAGTGTTTTTCCATCTATAATTCCCGGCCGCATGTGGTTGAGGATCTAAGTGGAAGGTGTTTCTTCATTTCATTGCACCTTTAAATTAAAAAAAAAAAGCGGGGAGGATGAAGAGAAAAATCTCCCTTCCTACAGGCACAGGGTAAAATCAGTATTAAGGGAGAAGTAAGTTAATGAGAGGTCACCTAATAATTCCCACAGAAGGGAAAAGGGGCTGGTCTATACATTTCAAGTTTACCTATATTATACATTTAAAGCTGGTTATAGCACTTGAAAAGTCATGCTCCCCCAAAGAGTCCTGGGAGCCGTAGTTCGCTGAGGGTGCTGGGAATTGTAGCTCTGGAGGCAAACTACAGTTCCCATCATTCATTGGTGGAAGCCCTTGTGCTTTAAATATATGGTGTGGTCCTCCTCCCTGCATACAGCTGCAGTCCCCAGGGTAGTTTAACAATCAGTCCCTCTTCCTAGTGAACTCCGGAAATCGGGGCTCTCTGTGTGTGTCTCCCCCAACAACTCTCAGCACCCTTAACAAACTATAGTTCCTAGGTGTCTTTTGCGAGGGGGAGCCACGGTTTTAAAAAGTGGTATAAGAGTGCTGTAAATGTTTGGTGTGGATTGTGGCCTAACCTCGAGGTGGAACAGCAACAGAGGAGAGCTTGCCTTATGCTGCAGCAGGGGTCCCTTTTATGCTTGATTTTTGAAGTATTTTAAACACTGTGATCAAGGCAGCACCTACTCTCTCTCTCACACACACACACACATGCACCGCTCTCGGGGCATCTGCAAAGTGTGACTAATGTCTTCTTAGCAGTATGTGGAAAACGTGGTTGGTTGGGGGCAGGAGGGAGGAATGTTTTTTCCATTTGTCAGCATGCCTAAGCCAGGAGCTCCCCTTCCCCCGGGGTGAGGAGGGAAAGGCCTGGCTGGCGCTTGTGAGACAGGGGCCTTGCGTAATCTCCCATAATCCTGTGGGCTTTTCTTTTTGGCCCTCAGCCCTAGTCTGGCTGGTAGGGTGGCCATGCGTCGGCTGCTTCCTGTACAAAGCGTGCATTAAGTTATTGGCGTGGCTGTTCCACAGAACACCAAATAAATCTACCTTTTATACTAGACTCTTTTCTGTCCGCAGATTTGAGGGGAGAGGCGATCCCTTGCTTTAAGGGAAGCGCTTTGGCCTAAGATCTCTCAGTCAAATGTGTGAGAAAGACACTCTTGAGCGTTGGGGCCTAAGGAACCATTTCCTTGTGAAGATCTGAGGCAGCCTTCTGTCAAGTCCAACTGCTGGTCTATATAACCTGGAAATGTCCACTCCGAATTGTAACCAGAGGCACACCCTTCCTCCCCACTGGCTTGCTTTCAAAAGTGTCTGTGAACTGGATTCACTAGGGGGGCCCTACAGATATTTCTGGACTACAACAGGGGTGGGAGGGACCAGTGTGGCCCTCCAGGCATCTCTTAATTGGCCCCTGGAACAGTCCCCAGACTGCACACTCCTCACTTGTTCCTGCTTTGCCCTGAATGTTTTTGCCTGGCCAGAACTCTGACAATGCCTCTTCTTGGCTGGAAGATGTGGGAGTGTGTTTGGAAACTATGCCTGCATTAAACCAGCAACATTTATGCTCCATTCACACCCCCCCCCCCGGCAAAGGAATGTGGCCCTCTTCTTCCCCTGCCCCCTGGATGGCAGCTCTCATCAGCCTTGCCAACTTTAATAATGTGTTGGCCGGGGCTGATGGGAATTGCAGTCTGAGACGTCTGGCAGGCAGCAGGTTACCAAAAGCAGTTTGCTCTAGCAGAATAGGCTTCCCTCATCTGGATGCCTGTTCTAGCTAGAAAGAGACCAGCCCGGTAACTCACACAGAGACACACTTGCCAACCTCCCGTTGAAAGCAACCGCTCCTGCTGCTGTGTTTCTGCACCTGGAGGCGATGAAAAATCCACTAGCACCCAATGCTGACATTGCAGAATGGCCCCCTCTCTTGGGACAGGCTGATTGAGCTTTTTCCTTTTCCAGACTAGTGGATCCAAAATAGCAGGTCCTCCCCCTGTTTGTCTGGAAAGGGAGGGGGCTTGAGCTCAGAAGAATCTTTAAATGTAGGAAACAGCAAGCCTAACGGTCAGAAGAGCCACTGGTACAGTAGTGGATACTTCAGGGCTGGCTAAGACAGTGGGTGGAGCATGGACGTAGGAAAAGTAATGTCACCAGTATTTTAAAAGTATCTGCAAACACCAGAGAAGGAGGCAGAGAAAAAGCCCATTGCCACAATATTCTTCCATCATCTTCATTTTTTAAAAAAAGCAATTCCGATAGAAAAACACAAAACAAAAACGAAAAGACAACAGTGCAGGCAAATATGGTACAGAATAAGTTAAACATCGTTTTTGTCCGCACCTCCTTGATGCTACCAGAGCTGGTGGGGGTGCAGAAATCTCCTCCTCTAGGATAGAAGTTAAGAGGCTGTCATATATAATAAATAGAAGCCGGTCCGTGGCCACGTTTCCAGGGTGGAAGCAGGGAAGAAGATGCAAGAAAGGCCCAGGAAACTCCGGCAGGCTTGCAACATTGGCGGTAGGGAAATGCATTTGGAGGCGGGGGGGGGGAAGCAGATCAGACGCCAGCGCCAGAGGAGAAGAAATGAGCGGCCGAGTCCTGAAAAGTGGGCAGAGCCAGGAGGCCCCAATCCCCTGCAAAGGACTAAAGGAGAAGCAGGGGTGCTAGTTGACAAGGAGCATAGCTGCTGAGGTAGAGAAAGGGCCCTGAGGCGAATAACAGCAGGGAGAGTCTGCAATATTAGCAGAGATCGATGGCACCAAGAAGAAGGGATTCCCCACTTTTGCAAAAGGTAAATCCCAGGTTCCTAACATGGCCTGATAGGAAAAGGCACGGCCAACCCCGCAATTAGGGCACCCTCAAGAGCCAGGGGTAGGGCTGGGAAGCAGCATCAGGCCCACGAGGCCTTGGGGCAGGTTCTGGGTCGGTTTACCCACACGTGGAATTGATTGACCCTCTGTATCCAGAGGAGGATGGGGGCTGTGTGCAAATCCTGCTCCAGCTTACTGGCAATAAAGGCGCTGTGTTCAGGCATCCGATTCTGGGAAGGGGGCGGACTACACTAGCAACCCTGCTTTCAAACGGAGTGCCCACCTTCCACATTGTTAGCAGGTGTTGGCAAAGGGAGGCTTCATCTAGCTGCTCCTCTGTGTGAAAAAGGGACCCGGTATTTGCAAGCATGTAAATTCAACCCTCTGAGCTCAGGAGGTAAAGGTAAAGGGACCCCTGACCATTAGGTCCAGTCACGGACGACTCTGGGGTTGCGCTGCTCATCTCGCCTTATTGGCTGAGGGAGCCGGCGTACAGCTTCCGGGTCATGTGGCCAGTATGACTAAGCCGCTTCTGGCGAACCAGAGCAGCGCATGGGAATGCTATTTACCTTCCCACCGGAGCGGTCCCTATTTATCTACTTGCACTTCGTGCTTTCAAACTGCTAGGTTGGCAGGAGCAGGGACCGAACAACAGGAGCTCACCCCGTCGCGGGATTCGAACCGCCGACCTTCTGATTGACAAGCCCTAGGCTCTGTGGTTTAGACCACAGCACCACCCGTGCAGACAGAAAAAATAACCCCTGCGCTGACAAAGGTTGTCATTGCGGGTGCCCCTGAATCATCTACCTCAATGCATCTGGCCTGGCAATGATGCCACGGGTGTGGGTGGGGCGATCTAGCCTTTCCCCATGCAGCATTGCTAGAGGCGGCCCACCCACCGCAGCCCTCCCTCTGGCTGAGGAACTTGGCTGTCATCGCCCTGGGCATTGAGCTCCCCCACCAAGCAGGACAAGTGCTGAAGAGTTCGGACGTGTTTGTAGTCGAACCAACCGTAAGTGGCTCTGTGCACAGTGCAATGAAGCTGAAGCTGCTGACAGCACCGCCCTCTTCTGGCAAACAGCAGGCAAAGCAGGCAAGTTGGATGGCGAGCCTCCGATGCCTCCGATGGCCCGCTTGTGGCATTACAGTCTATGTCCAGCGAGAAGCATTGTGGGCATGTGCTATATATTGGTCTTCCTCCCCTCTAGCGCCACCTACTGCTGCCATCTTTGGCACCCCCCTTTGTGGCAGTGCTTCTCCCGCCCTGAGCAGAGCAGACGTTGTTCTTAGTCTGAGCCCAGTATTGGGATAAACATCCTCGTTCTATGGCTCTGTGCCTGCCGCCTCAGGCCGAACTGTACTTGCTCTTCGTGTGGCTGGTGCGCGTCAGCTGGAGTTGGCGGGCGGCCTGCAGGACGCGGTAGCGCTCGCGGAGGTTGCGCCGCCGCACGTGCTCGTTCGTGATCTCCTGCACGTAGCGCGAGGGGAACCAGCCCTTCTTGCCGTCGGTCAGGCGGACGCCCTCATACCAGCCTACGAGAGGGGAGGAAAAGGGAAGGAGACCTGTCAGCCTCTCGCTTCCTGTCCGCCCCTTTCCTCGCCTTCAAAGCCACTGGGAGGGGGGTTCTCCCAGGAGTTGGGTTTGAAGCTTCCAGAAGCTTCCAGAGCAGTCTTGCTGCTTTGCAGGAAGGGTGGGGTCAGAATGCAGCATATCAATAAAATGTGTGGGCCCTAGATTGCAGGGAGTGTGTGTGTGTCAAAAACTGAATGAGGACCGCCTTATAAGAACTTAAGAAGAGTTTTGATGGACTAGCCCAATGGTCCATATTGTCCAACATCTTGTTCTCTCAGATGCCCTGTGAAAAGGCCAGAAGATGGATCTGAGCACAGCCAAACGCTTCCCACCTGCGTTTTCCAGGAACTGGGATTCAGAACCATATGTTGCCTCTGGGTGCAAATTCCATAGTTTTAACTACCTTAAACATGGCATTAGTAAAGTTAAAGGGACCCTGGCCGTTAGGTCTAGTCGTGACTGACTCTGGGGTTGCGGCATTCATCTCGCTTTACTGGCCAAGGGAGCTGGCGTACAGCTTCCAGGTCATGTGGCCAGCATGACTAAGCTGCTTCTGGCGAACCAGAGCAGCGCACGGAAACGCCATTTACCTTCCCGCCGGAGCGGTACCTATTTATCTACTTGCACTTTGACGTGCTTTCAAACTGCTAGGTTGGCAGGAGCAGGGACCGAGCAACGGGAGCTCACCCCATCGCGGGGATTCAAACTGCTGACCTTCTGATCGGCAAGTCCTAGGCTCTGTGGTTTAACCCACAGCGCCACCCGCATCCAGCTAAACATGGCAATTAACCTACCTAAATTACCTTAAACATGGCATACCTTCTGTGGTGAATACCTTCCCCCCTCCCCTTTATCTATCTGGGATAAGTGACACTTTTGCAGACTGATTCGATAACTCCAAACACCTCGCTATTAAATGTACACGCATTTCGATATTAAACACACACATACCCTCATTGGTTTTGCGTAGCACATTGACAATGTCCGTAGGCTCTAGGCTCAGTTCGTCGGCCTGGGCAGCAGAGTATGTCTCAATGCACTGCACCTGAGGGCAGTCTGTGAGGAAAGAGGGAAGGAGAGAGGGTGAAAGAAGGAAAGAACGAAAAAGAGGCATTGGCATAGGGTACAGGGAGGTTTACAGATATAGGTGAAAATGATCTTCCTATAATTGAACACACAGTCATGGAGGAAGGAACACACACATCCACAAGAATAGTTCCAGGGGGAGGCAAATTAAACACTGAGAGCAGGTTGGACACAGACCTGTTCCTCACAAAAAAACAATGAGAATGGTACATTTTGCCTTGTATTGCAGGTTCTACACAAACGCTAGAAACTTGCTCTCTTTTTCTTATTTAAAAACCAAAAAATGAACACTGGGAATCTGGGGATTATGGTTCATGGCCAGGAAGCGGAAGAGGGTCCTGCCCTCAAAGAAATAACTTACTAGTTACCAGTAATTGAAGGGAACCGCAGCTCTAAGGTGAGGGCGTCATTTTACATTGGTGAGCTTGTGCAGCTTACAATTGCGAGGCTTACACAGACCATGAAGAAAAACATTTCCTGTCACAGTTAGCTGCTGATCTATAATTTTAAATCTCCATGTGGTTTTCGCTATGTATGCTGTGTATAATTGCTGTAAACCGACTTGGTAAATTTAAAAAAAAATGAAATTGT